AAAGAAAGAAAGAAACAAAAGAAGCTAGACCAGCATGATGAATCAGAGGGAGATGTTTACCCTGCCCTATCATTCTACCCATACAAAGAGTATAGAGTCTTCTACCACTCTAGAATTTTTTTTTTTTTTTTTTTTTGAGGTGGAGTTTTTTGCTCTTTTTGCTCAGGCTGGAGTACAATGGCGTGATCTCGGCTCACTGCAATCTCCACCTCCCAGGTTCCAGCTATTCTCCTGCCTTAGCCTCCCAAGTAGCTGGGATTACAGGTGCACACCACCAAAACCAGCTAATTTTTGTATTTTTAGTAGAGACGGGGTTTCACCATGTTGGTCAGGCCGGTCTCGAACTCCTGACCTCGTGATCCGCCCGCCTCAGTCTCCCAAAGTGCTTTTAAAAGCACAAATTTATAGGGAAAATAAAATGTATACCTGTTAATTTAAGGCCCTAAATTTTAGCCAGTTTCCAACTGAGATATGATCATTTCAGCTCATAAAAATAACCTAAGTTGAACCATAGTGGTAATTCATTCTTGGGCTGTGGGCCCTTCATTTATGTGAAACATCATAAAAGTACCATGTTACTTAAATAATCAGAAAGGACTTTGCCTTTGGAGATAAAGTTCAGCTGATTTGCTGCTGACATAATGATCCTTTGGCAAACTGGTGGAAACTACCTTTAGGAAGCCAATGTTTTAATCATATTTCAAGATATCAAACCAAAAAAACACCCTGAAAAAGCACAAATGACAACACACCATTATCTCAGTTAGTACATTGGTCACTTAGAAAAAGCTATCAAGTATTTTATTATTTTTATTCTACATTATATACAGGTCATAAAAGGCCACAGCAGTTTTTCAACATATAAACCCTTTAAAAGTAGAGGGCACTATGAAGGATAGACAAGTATCAAAATGAAGTCCAGTAATGAGGGCATATACTCAGTGCAGTATTTCTGAGGAATAACAAAGCAGATACCGACTCATCCATACTTTGCTTCCAAGTATTCTATAGGTTTTTATAAACCTCTTTGAGATTTGTTAACAGCCTAGGGGTGCCAAGTTGCCATTTATTTTTAAAAGTGAAACCAGAATGAAAGAATAATGAATCTAGGAGGGTACCTTTCCTAATGCTTGTCATTTATACCTCTTCAAGAAGGAAAGCCTCAATTCTTTACCACTTTCTACTTCCTCCTTCCATCAAAGATAGGAAAGAAAAATTGGGGAAAAAAGCTCAATATTCTAATTCTTCCTGTTTAGCTGGAGCTTTCCTTTTCTATCGGGGTTTCTTCAAAGTATAGTTCAGGCCTTTTAAAAATTAGCTTCAAATTCCAAAACATTTAATATTGCACCCTCCTTGAACAATAAGTAAAAAAATGGGTTTCCACTCTGTGAAAATACAATCCTTAAACCTATCACTGGTATCAGCAGATCAATATAAAAAAATACAGTACCAAGCTACACTGGTATATTTCCATATTAAGAACTTCAAAATATACTTATCACTGAGACCATAGTCCTTGCATTAGTTTTCAGTCCACTATGAACAATTATCTGCTGCATGTAAACATGTCTAAATAACTATAGATAAAATACATCAATCATAAATTTCTGTAAAAGATAATAAAATATCTTCTTTAAAAAACAAAACAATAAGCTATTACTGCATTGTTTCCAATTTTATGAAAATGGAACAACCATATGGTTGTTGCCAGTCCTGAGTTCATCGTAATAAAAATGGCCCTAGTTCCTGGTTAAAGTCAGCAACCAATCCATTCTCTTCAATAGATGTCTTCTAGTGGTGTAGGCAAGAATTTGTTTTACGTGCTATTCTGTCCATTAATAAAATTATATACCAGAAACTGACCAGTGCCACAGTACTGTGTTGCAAACAGCTTTCCATCAGGAGTGGGATCTGAGAAAGCAATTTCTTCTTTGCTCAAGTATGAGCCATATATAAAGTTACTCCTATTAAAAAAAAAAGGGGGGGGGGAGGGGTTAAGTGCAAAATGTTAAAAAAAAAATTCTTTCTAATCATTAAAACTGGAATAACCTGTCAAATACAATTTGACTAAAAAAACTTTTTAGGTCCTGTTGTATGTGCTCAAAATTGTTGAAAATAATTATTCATTTATAATATTATCAATAACCTGAGGTTAAATTTTAATAAAAGCAACAATGTAAAAACATTTACCCAACATCTTTTCATGATAAAAATATTTAACTAAGAGTAGAAATAATTTCCTCAACCTGATCAAGGGCATCAAGGAATATCAGAGTTAATGGTGAATGACTGAAAACTGTTCCTCAAAGATCAGGAATAAAAGAAGACTGCTCTCACCTCTTCTATTCAATATTGTATTGGAGGTTCTAGTCATGAGTAAAAGAAATAAAAATCATCCAGATTGGAAAGAAAGAAAGAAAGCTATCTCTTTTGCAGATGAAAAGGCCTTGTTTATAGAAAATCCTAAAAAATTCACAAAAACAAACATAAAATCTAATAAATGAGTCTGGCAAGGCTGCATATTCAAGATTGATATTCAAAAGTAAACTGTATTTCTATACACTTGTAATGAACAACCTAAAACTGAAATTTAGGGGGAAAAATTCAATTTATAGTAACATCAAAAAAAATTAAATACTTGCCAGGCACAGTGGCTCACACCTGTAATCCCAGCATTTTGGAAGGCCAAGGCGAGAGGATTGCTTAAGCCCAAGAGTTCAAGGCCAGCCCAGGCGACACAACAAGACTCCGACTGCACCAAAACAAATGAAATTTTTGCCAGGCACATGGCTATGGTCTCAGCTACTCAGGAGGCTGAGGCAGGAGGATTTCCTGAGCCCAGGACATTAAGGATGAAGTGAACTGTGTTTGCACCACTGCACTCCAGCCTGGGTGACAAAGTGAGATGCCGTCTCCAAAAAAGAAGAAAAAAAAAACTTGGGAATAAATGTAACAAAGGAAGCGTTAAGACTTGTACACTGAAAACTATTAAACATTGCTGTAAGACCTAGGGCCAGACGCGATGGCTCACACCTATAATCCCAGCACTTTGGGAGGCCAGGGCAGGTGAACTGCTTGAGCCCAGGAGTTTGAGACCAGCCTGGGGAACATGGCAAAACCCCATCTCTGCAAAAAATAGAAAAATTGGCCGGGTGCAGTGGCTCACACCTGTAATCCCAGCACTTTAAGAGGCCGAAGTGGGTGGATCACTTGAGACCAGGAGTTCGAGAGGTAGTGGGCACCTGTAATCCCAACTACTTGGGAGGCTGAGGCAGGAGAATCACTTGAACCCGGGAGGGGGAGGTTGCAGTGAGTAGAGGTCACGCCACTGCACTCCAGCCTGAGACAACAGAATGAGACTCCATCTCAAAAAAAAAAAAAAAAAGAAACCCAACTAGCTGACCTAAAAACCTCTTTTGAATAATTAATTATAACCGCCTTTATTAACCTTTATCAGAGGTACTTTATAGGACAAAAAACTAAACAATTTTTCTGAGTCTCCCTTTTATATCTTCAGTCAAGTGATAAAAGAAAAACTAGAGATTTCGATAGTTTACAAATATTCTTGAATTAAGATAAATTTCTCTAAAAGCTGAACTCCCAAGGAACTTTCCACATTTCTTTGGTTATATTTAAAATTCTTCAAAATGAAGCACAACTTGAAATAGGCAGGTTATTTTGGCCTAATATCATAGTTACAAATAAGTAAGACAAAACAGCTTAATAGTGTTTAGCCTACAGTGCTTTCTTCCTCCTCATGTTAAATTCACATAAAAAGTACTTACAGATCCAATACACTGATAACCTCATGCAAAATTTATAATTAACACAAATAAAGGTTTTACACACGTTAATTAAATGCCAATCTTTATACTAAAGCTCTGCCTAAGTCCTAAACTACTAAAAATGACTTGAAGGATTACATTCAAGTTACCTTAGGCATTCAATCATGCGAGAAGCAATTTTCTTCCGACGCATCATGCTGAATACCCATATTCGACTGATCCCACAGATTGCAGGCTCTGGTAATGTTGAGCAGCACCAGGCTTTTTGCCTTTCAAATCTGACTTTTTCTTCTTCTGACCTGATAACTGGAAGTTTCTCTTCTATAACTCTGTAGCCCTGCAAGTGTCAAAAATGGGGAAAATTTTTAAGTGAGACTATTAATTAGCAACTAATACTGATCTGGTTGAGGAGGTTATGACATTTGACTGGCTTAAAAAACTATGGGGTTACTTATGTTTTCACTCTCATTTTTAGGAAACAGACAACCTCGATCTGCATTCTGTTCCAGTTCACTTACTAGTTGTATGACCATGAAAGTAAGTTACAATTTCTCTAACCTTCGGGTTCCTCACTGGAGATATCCATCAACTCTCATTTTGAGAGATTAAACCCAAATACATACAAAGTCCTTTGCCATCATGAGGAGCCCCCCAATAGGAACTGAACATTAGTTCTCTCCACCTCTCACACTCCCAAGAACCAGCAAAAGTACATGTTAAGAACACAGCAGTAATAACTGTTTCTGTGATTGCTGTCACAGTTCTAGATTTCACAGTTGTACAAGAACTGAGACTAGGGATAGCAGACAAATCAAATAATTTAAAAAGCCATTTCATCACACTGCAATCTCTTTTTTCAAAAAAGTACCTTAAAGAGCATACATCGCTTTTATGGTGGCTATCTTTATGGGAAAAGAAAAGAAAATTTAAAATATCTCTGCCAGTCTAGCTGCCAAAATATAACACAACTGTTTTTCTTTTTTTTTTTTTTTTTTCTCTGAGACAACAGTTTCTTCTGTCACCCAGTACAGTGGTGCAATCTCAGCTCACTGCGACCTCTGCCTCCTCGGTTCAAGAGAGTCTCGTGCCTCAGCCTCCCGAGTAGCTGGGATTACAGGCATGCACCACCATGCCTGGCTAAGTTTTGTATTTTTAGTAGAGACGGGGTTTCACCATGTTGGCCAGGCTGCTCTTAAACTCCTGGATTACAGGTGTGAGCCACCGTGCCCAGCCATGACTGGCCTTCTGATGGCACAAGATATAAAACTTAAAAGCAAACAGACAACACAGTTAAGAGTCAGCAAAAACAACCCTAACAAACATTACATAGTTATCCTTCTAGTCTAAACACTGCTATAAGTCATTTATGGATCTAGATGGAATAGAAACTTAAAAACACAATAGTCTGAACTATGTAAAATTAACTCAATTGCAGTATGGCAAACTTCTATGAGTTAGTCAATTTATACCAAATTAATTTCCACAAACTACCCTATCAGTTACTTACTTAAATTAATTTTGTTATTATAGCAAGGTTCATAAGCACTATACAATAATTTCAGACTGAATATTTATTTACTTATTTATTATTTTTTCTAAAGAGACAGAGTCTGGCTATGTTGCCCATGCTGGAGTGCAGTGGCTATTCACAGACACAAACATAGCACCCTACAGCCTCAAACTCCTGGACTCAAGCAGTCCTCCTATCTAAGCCTCCCAAGTAACTGGGACTACAGGTGCCACCACACCCAGCTGAATTTTTAAAACATGTAGCTTAACATATATAAACTCCTGCAAACTTGCTTTGACTTTTCACTTTTTTAGAAAATTTTATGACCAAGCATACATCTGTGCAAGCAGCTATTAACCCACTTATGCTTAGTGTTCCAATAATGGAACACTAAGCATGTGGGAGTTATTTATATCCTACTGCTCAAGGTCATCGCCAAGGTCTTATTTTTCACCCATGCAAGAACCCAAAAAATTGTTGTAACCTTTGGCATAAACTAGTTAATATGCTAAAAGACACTATCTGAACAGTAGTCACACACAATGCACACTGAGTTTATGAGCAAGAACGTAGCAGGAAAAAGACAGAATTCAGGTCTGCCTCAAAGTGAGATTAGGGAGTCCAGAAGCTTCTGTCTGTTCTCTTAGTCTCAGTAGTTTCTACTAACACTCATAATATAAATATACATGATTCCACTGTTTGTTTTTTGTACAAATAGGCTACTAAACACAAGATAACTACTCATTTAGAGTTCAACAAAGGAAGTGGTGATCTGTTCCAGGCGTGGGCCTTTTTTGTTTGTTTGTTTGTTTGTTTGTTTTTTGAGATGGAGTATTGCTCTGTTGTCCAGGCTGGGTTCAGTGCACGAACTTCAGCTCACTGCAGCCTCTGCCTCCCAGGTTCAAGCAATTCTCCCGCCTCAGCCTCACGAGTAACTGGGATTACAGGCACACACCACCACATCTGGCTAATTTTTGTATTTTTAGTAGAGACAGGGTTTCACCATGTTGGCCAGGCTGGTCTCAAACTCCTGACCTTCTGATCTGCCCACCTCAGCCTCCCAAATTGCTGGGATTACAGGTGTGAGCCACCATGCCCGGCGGTGTGGGCCTTTTATAAAGGCACAGATAGTAAATATTTTAGGCACCGCAGCCCACCTGGTCTCTGCTGCAACTATTCAACTCTGCCTTTGTGGTACAAAAGTAGCCATAAATATGTGAGCCAAATGGGTGTGGGTGGGCAACAATAAAATTTTATTTACAAAAACAAGTTGGACTTTGCCCACTCTAGTTTGCCTAGTCTTGACTTACTGCAGTGCTAGAGGGACTAATTGAGAAAGACATTACATTGGTATCTAACATGGAAACTTCCAAAATAAACTTGGATAGTATTCTGATTTTTTTTGGGGGGGGTGGCAGAGGAGAGGGATGGAGTCTCACTCTGTCACCCAGGCTGGAGTGCAATGGTGAGACCTTGGCTCACTGCAACCTCCACCTCCCGGGTTCAAGCGATTCTCCTGCCTCAGCCTCCTGAGTAGCTGGGATTACAGGCGCACACGCCCGGCTATTTTTTTCTTTTTCTTTTTGAGACCAGGTCTCGATGTGTCACCCAGGCTGGAGTGCAGTAGCACAATCTTGGCTCACTGCAACCTCTGCCTCCTGGGTTCAAGCAATTCTCCTGCCTCAGCCTCCCCAGTAGCTGGGACTATAGGCACGTGCCACCGTGCCCGGCTCATTTTTTTTATTTTTAGTAGAGATGGGGTTTCACCGTATTAGCCAGGATGATCTCGAACTCCTGAACTTGTGATCCTCCCACCCTGGCCTCCCAGAGTGCTGGGATTACAGGTGTGAGCCACCGCGCCCAGCTAATTTTTGTATTTTCGGTAGAGACCAGGTTTCATCATGTTGGCAAGGCTGGTCTCGAACTCCTGACCTCGTGATCCGCCCACCCTGGCCTCCATAATCTGGGATTACCGGCGTGAGCCACTGCGCCCGGTCTGATGGTATTCTCATTCTACAGAATTTTTACCTTACTGACTTGAGAAATGAATTCCCATGTATAACCATTACTCCACTATGGTAAAGACTCACACATGGGAATTCTTGCATTAAAACTGTTCCTTACATAAAATGGAGACAAACTCATCAGGATTTATGTTATTTGGGATTACGTCGTAAACTCATTAAACACCAAATTACTTAAGAATATTCTTTAAAAATCACTTACCCATTGGATATGTTCCGCAATTAGGCACCCAACTACTTTTTTGTCATTGGAAATGAAGAGAAGTGTTTTAGTTCTGGAATAGCACATTAGTGGAGCCTGTTGAAAACCTAAATCATTGTCAACCATCTCTCTAATCTCGTCAACCTGCCAAATAAAGAACAAGAATTATTTTTAAATGAAAACATTATATACATGTAAAAACACACTATTTCAGTTCAGTAGATAGACTTTATTCCAAGCAGGGCATCCTCTAAAGAGTTCTTTTGGATGGGCATGGTGGCTCACACCTGTAATCCTAACACTTTGGGAGGCCAAGGCGGATGGATTGCTTGAGCTCAGGAGTTCACCACCAGCCTGGGCAACACGGTGAAACTCCGTCTCTACTAAAATATAAAAAAATTAGCCAGGCGCAGCAGTGTGCGCTTGTAATCCCAGCTACTTCGGAGGCTGAGACAGGAGAAACCCTTGAACCTGCTGGAAGGCGGAGGTTGCAGTGAGCTGAGATCACGCCATTGTACTCCAGCCTCGGTGACAGAGAGAAACTCCATCTCAAAAAAAATAATTTAAAAAAAAAGAGTTCTTTTGAAGGACTGTACTGATCAATAACTGTTTTTTAACCCCAAGAAACACTTTGCAAAATGAAGGAAGAACTGGAGGGTGATGCCAAACCCAACAGTCTAGAGAACAAGAGGGATGGGGTGAGAGCTCCTACAACAGATTATTAGAAACATTAAGACTTCATATTAGAAGTATCTAATTTGTGAATGGAAGAGAACTTCACTGGAATCTTAGCCAGGCAAGCCACTTTTCTTCCCAACCCTTAATTAGTACTCTCATCAGTAAAACGAAAGTGAGTATAGAGAAAAGGAACTCATATTTACTTCCTATCAACCACTTATAGGCCAGGCATTATTCAAAGCACTTTACAAATATTTCACTTCAATCCCACATTTCTTGGAGGTTCCTTACTTTACACATGGAAGAAATAAAACTCAAAAGTTAAACCACTTTCCCATGTCAGATAGTAGACATCCAGAAAATCAAGGAGCAGAGTCACATGTGAATCCAAAATGTTACTATGGCATCAAACCATGCTTCTTACAGTTTACCTCCTAAGTGACCAAAGTCAAACATGATAAGCTCAAACTGTTGGCAGGCAATCAAAAG